AAGTAAATAAAGTCATTTAAAGAAGAAGAGTTCGTTCAATAGCTTACCGTTATTTTTGGGTCGCAAGGCATAAATTAGCCAGACCGTTTGAGAAATATTCAGAGAAAAATGCATCTTCTAGACTCGCTGATCTTGCTTAGAGTATATGTAGTTTTCCCGCCTCATAAAGATAAAGAATGAGCGCAAGAAACTGCTACGTACAGCCTCAATATTGCTGGTCAGCGGGAACAAAGCCTTTGTTGTGTTTGTTTTGTAGATGCTTCAATCATTAACCATTTCGGCTTTTATGTGGGGTAGAAAAGCACAGAACGTGTCATCACAATGGAATGTGCTGCAAATAAAATGTCACATCAGGCCATCAAAGAGACTGGTGAAACAATAATAAGAAAAATTCATCCCATCGTCGAAAAAAGGAATAACTTTTTTTTATTTTTTTTTAACAGGTTTTGGTTTCTAAATCGAACAATAGAGACATTTATTTAGGAAGGATTTTGCCTGTCGTAGTTAGATTGAAAAATTTTAGATTGTAAATTTTAGGTATCCTTTAAGTATACTCTATTATAATTATTACAGGTAGTTATAGTTGTAAGGTGCATTTGATCATATTCAGATGTTAATTTGCGCCAAGTAAAAAATAAATTATTATTGTTGTTATTATTATTATTATTGTTATTATTATTACTATTATTATGGTTATTATTATTCAGGAGCATAAACACAGTTGACAGAGTTCTCTGGCGTTAAAAGTGCAAAGTAGAGACCACCCCAGTGAGAGAAGGGAACCTGCATTGTGCAAAGCCTCTGCATTACCCACTGATCAGTTGCCACATTTATACGCAGTAGGACAATCAATTCCACCGGAAGAAATGTCTACGGCGACATTATTCCAGGGTGAGTTTAAAAAGGCCTTTCTTCCTTAAAGCGCGCGCATCGCACGTATGATTCTCGAATGCCAAAGCTAAATAAGTCGGAAAGTACTCCTCTTTCAAACTATTTCCTCTTACCATCATGTAATGTATTTCTTTGACATTTGCCGTGTTAAGATTGCCAAGAAATTCAAAAAGGTAAGCATTTTTCGTCAACGAACAAATAACAGACGCAGCATCCATTTTGCTGTTAAATTTTATGTCTGGCTTGAGGGTTGTTTTTCTCTGCATTTTTCTTTACAAGCTCCTCCCCCACCCTCCCCCTAAGAAAATATTACAAGATCAAAATATAAAAACGTACTGATTCTGGCACCAAGAGAAGGTTAAAACATTTTGAATCTTTGATAGGAACAATTTATAAGCCTTATATAATTCCTTTTAACCTTCTTTCTCATCCTGAACCATTGGTTCAGGAAAGATAAAAGCAATAGAGGAAGCAAGAGACTTGCATCATCTATGCGAGACTGCACGTGTTGTTGGTATGAGAACAGAAAATCTCCAAACAATGGAAAAATTGAAGGAAAAACTTCTTGAATACATCAAAGAAAAGCGTCAGGAATCGGTGAAGGCAAGTTTAGAAGAATGATATGTTGGACTGTCCATATCTGATTATCTGCTCCATCTCAAAGATGACGGTACTCAATAAAGATTGAATAAAAGGATATTTAGTCCTCCTTGTTTCAAACCCTCACCCTGTATCTTAGTGGCAAACCAAGGCAAACCTTTGCTTTATACGAACACGGACTTCAATGACCTGTTTTACCTAGTCATCATGTATCAAAGACATTTAAGCGGTAGTTAAGAATGGACGGCTTCGAGAACGGAGTGTTCTTAACGCTTGCTTTTCCTGATTATTTTCTTTTCCCCACTTGTATCTATTGCTATTCTATGTTCTTATATGTTGATAAGGAGGAGCCTTACGAATGCAGGAAGTTATTTTCTCATTGGCATTTGATGAAAGACCTTATCTTACTTTCAACATTTTTATCATCAGTTTTATTCATAGAAATCGTTTATCATACCTGTGGTTAGCATTTTTTTAATCAATATTATTAATAATTATCCTAATTTTTATTTTTTTTTGTTTATTCCCTTATAACTAAGATCTCTACTGAAAAAAAAAATGCAAAACGTAAAATGTGTCATTTCGTCTTTCATATCAAGAAGTCATAATTTCAATTTTTCTTTTCAGACGTTTGAGGTGATTTCTGAAGCTGGTAGGGCAGATGAATACAAACGGAAAGAGCTTCTAAATCTTTACGAAGAGGCAAAAAAAATTCTAAATCTTTTGGATGATGAATTCCTTAATCCTCTTGAAACAAGCTTGGGAGATATCAAAATGGCTCTTAAAGAAAACATGAGATGTCTTGCGCCAAGGGATCATTATGTGGTTATTGTTGCAGGTAGGAATTAAAGAGACTTTCCGCATAAGAGAATTTATCGCATTTTTCTCAGTTACCTCGAGGATTTCGAATTGTAATAGATTTTTCCAGTTGTGCCGCTTTTAAAGCATTCAGTTGGTTAGGAGTTTCTTAGCCTGCGAACAGGCTCCTGGCCTGGAGAAGCACAACGGCGCGAAGCAGGGGAAGCAGGCTAGGAGTTTCTGTTCATGATTATAAGTTGTTTATTTTAACTTCTCGTATGCCTGGAATTTTTTACCTTCAGGTGAGACTAGTGCTGGCAAGAGCAGTGTAATCAACCTAATACTTGGCGAAAAAATTCTTCCAACTGGCGTTTTGAGTAAGACATCGACAATCTTCGAGCTCAAGTACGGTACATCTCCAAAGATTCGCATACATTTCAATGATTCCAGTGAACCTGTGTATAACGAATTAGATGGTCCTAAAGAGACCATCTTAAAACAGTTAAAGAATCTCGTGACTGAAAACAATGACAGAGAAAAAGTATCTCCTTACAAGAAGGTCGAGCTGTTTTGGCCGCATCGTTTGTTTAAGGTTAGTTATTTTTCAGTACGCCCTAAGTCTGGAAATTTGTTTTTCTGGATTTCATGTGATTTACGTTGCAGTGTTGAAGAAACTGCGACAGTGTTAATTCAGACTATTTGCAAAATCTATTACATTGTTTTAATTGACTAAATTACTACCAAATTCAGTTCGTATCATTTTGTTGTTCTCGACTAACTGACCCAAATGGCGAAGAAAAATGATTGAACCTTAACGAAAGGTATCCGAAAAAGAATAATCCTAACAAAAGCACGTTAACAACGTCATACATTGTATATTTATGCCCGTGCGTGTTCGTGTGCACGTCGGTATTTTAACCCTTTTTCATTACTCAGTTTGTCCTTTAAATGAATTGTTCGAAACAAGGTACTAGGCAAAATCCACTACATGGCTGTCTCTAGAATGAAGCGAGAGGGACTGAGTGAGAAGGGCTATACCGCAGCTTTTGGTTCCTTCTCTTCAACGCAGGATATTTTTAGCTCAAGGATACACCTAGTTTATCTTCTACCAACCTTTATGCTTCACCGCTAAATTTCTTCCGTTTCTTATTAGTTTAAATTGATCACATGACGCGATAGTTTTCATCCGTAGACAGACGCTATCAGCCCACAATGCCCGTGCGCGAAAAATTTTCAATGGTTTGACGGCAGCGAAGTTAGGCAGATCGGAAAAAACAGTCACTTTTCAATTCTGACAGGTATAACGTATTATTTAGCCAATGTACGGTTGTGAATTATTGACTTTTGTGACTGGCTGTAAGCATGATTGATCTGCATTTAGTGGGTTTTGACTGTTTTTCAACTGGCGCGCGGAAGAAGATTTAGTGGTGAACAATAAAGACAACAGAGTGTTAATGTCTCGGAACTATCGGTATGATAGTTGCCCCTTGGAAATTTGATGTTCTTAAAACTAGCATATTTGCCTTCGAAGCTTCACTTCTCGGGCAAATATTTGTTTTAAGAGCATCGCATTTCCGCGGGGCAACAATCAGCCGATAGTTACTCGACAGAAACACTCTATTGTTTAAATAGTCTCTCCGATTATAAAGGATATGTCTCATACCATTCGTGTTACTACACATGTCACTACACTTTTAAACTATTGAGCTTAGCTGCCCGGCCCTTAACTTAAAAAAAATGTCATGAATTAAGATGATATCCTACTGATGTATGGAAATGGCGGATAATGTGATGTGCCGTATATAGGAGTTATTTTGTATAATTAAGACGGCTTTACCTTTGTTAGGAGCGCGTCATCATTGTTGATACCCCTGGAGTAGGAGATAGTGAAGCTATGAATGAAGTTGCCCTAAATTACCTTCCGAATGCTTTCTGCTTTATTTATGTCATCAACAGCACCAATGCTGGGGGAGTCCAGGAAGACAGAGTAAGTGACTATTTCATTATCATTTCGTGCAGCTCCTTAATCTTCCTTTGTTGCTGTTACCAAATGATTAGTAAAGAAAAGAACGAAGCAATGAAGTTCACAGTTTTACGAAACATTTTATGGACTGAGATTAGGGCTTAGTTATTCCCCTCACCTTGTACCACGGTGAGGGTTTGAGTTTTTTCATCTACGAGGGTTAGTACAATTACTTCAGGAGCAAATTTCCCCCCTTCGATTTACGTTGAAGTGCAAGTCAATGGATTACGTCATAAATCATAATTACCGTTTTACTTAAAAGTTATTTAAAGGCCACGAGGATCAGGTTGCACTCTCTCCTTTGTCGGAAACTGAGTGGTAACATAAGACAGTGATTCCCTTTCTCGATTGATTTCTGTCCCGAACTCTCAAAATTTAATTAATTTTATTGTTAAACGGG